ATAAAAGGAAATTTTATGAATGAATGCGGGAACCGTGGGCGCCTACAAATCGCTGGTTTCATAACCACAATGTACATTTTCGAAATGCCACTCTCGCCTTGAACAACCACGTTCATTCAGTGAAGATTAAGCGCCTTTTCTAGGTCGCACTTTTCATAATTATATGCGTGTCCAGCGTTAATCAAAAAGCGTTTCTTCGTTGCGCAACTTTACCGTTTAATTTGCACATGCACCGGAAATGGAAAGTTTCCATTCAGTCCTAGGTGGGCGGATATAAATTGATTAGTCGCGTCGCTAATAATGGAACTTTTTAGTCATTAGTCAACAGTGAAGACGGGAAGGATTTTTCCCTGTTCGAACGCCTCCTCCAACAAGAAGCGCATGGATAGCCGGGATCGATTTAAGGCCAATATAAATAAAAATTACATAAATATTGCGGCTGGCTAAGTGAATTCTTATACAAATGTGCATTTGCGGCCGTTATTAATGCGGCCAGTCTTAGGTCGGTCGCCACCAGGCCATTATTCTTGTTTTCCACTAATTGGATGACGTTTTCCATCATTTTTCTGACTAATTGTAAATTATTGTCATCGTGAATTTAATCCTGGTAGAGAGAGATGATGATGATTGCTTTTACTGCGTCCAGTCACTTTTCAGCGGCGTCGACTGATTCAACACACAAAATTTGCCATTTCCAAGACCGTGATTTCTTTAAAATTGCGTCTGAAATGCGGAAGAAATCAAACTGATTGGTCCGAAACCTGTTCTGGAAGTGCTTGCTTGTGATAGCCTAAAAAAAACTTTTTTCGACCAGTTCAACGGATTTATTTTTTTGTCAAATATTATGATGCTTTTTTCTAACAAAAAAACGTAACAGAGCTTTTGGACTCTAAATTGAACATGGAGTTAGACACTAATGTCGGTTTATCAAAGGAGATAGACTTTCGAGGCCATTCCTTGAAACTAGTCGGTGGTTATTCGGGTTTTTAGACCGTGGTAAAATCGAATTTCTTCCTGACGTTTCGCAAACACGAGTGGCTTGCATATTCAAAGGTATCAAAGGCATCAAGCACGCCACCTCTAAGGATGCAAGCCACTCGTGCTTGCGAAACTTCAGGATGAAATTCCATTTTACGTCGGCCTAAAAACCCGAAAAACCCACAAATGTTGGTTTGTCGAAAAACAACATTTGTCGAAAAACGACAATCTAGCACCTTTGATTAAAAAAGTGAGCATTTTAGTAAAAAATCTCAAAAGAGCCGTTTTGTTCCCAACTAAACGTAGAATGAGAAGCTGCTTTTGGGCTGCACAAAAACATTGACGTCCACCGTTTTTCTGTCTGAAAACTTTCAAATAATAAACACTGCGTTAGTTTTCCCGAACGGTATTCACTTTTTAAATCAGAAACTGTGCATTTTAGCACAAAAATCCAGACGAGCTTCTATAAACCGTTAAAATTTGATTTATTCAATGAAATTTGGCAAATCCTTTCTTTATTATATTATAAGAACTTATTTTGAAGCCAAAATATTTTAAACAAATCTTCAATGTAGACACCGTTCTTAACTCGAATACACTCTACATCAAGTTTAATCTGAGTTTGTAAAATCTAGATTCGCAATGCAATGAGTGTTCCTCAAATAATATCATTAAAATATAAAATTCAACAAAAAACCTTACGAAAAATTCTGCAAAAAACCTAAAAAACTATTTTTCGCATAGGAATTATTTTCGCTAAATTGATGATCTACTTTTACGTCTGGAAGATGAAGAACGAGGAAGCTTCTACATTAAAATAAACGTGGAATAGTAAAGAAGAGATGATCATCAACGCGAAAGTTGTTCTGTGTTGATTTCACAAAGGCTTCTGATAGTGTAAAATATTCACAACTTGAGCAGAAGTGGCTATTCGAAGTGTGACTAAGGTTACTTACGGATTAATGAAAAACGATGCTGCAACTTTGTAATTTTAAGCCGAAAATTGGATTTGTTTTGCATCTAAGTTCTCAGCAACTCGAGAGAGTTTGAAGGGAAATTAGGAAAACTAGATTTTCTTGATACTGCAATTTGTGCTTTTCTGGTGTAACCAGCGCTGGAATGTAGAAGTTTTAAGCACAAAGAGGCTGATTTTTTAGTGCTTTGGCCGTAAATGAGAGCGAAACTCATCGCTTTTTGATGACTTTAATGGCTAATTAAGGATGGCAAATGAGACGATTTGCTATGAAAATTCTCGAGGTACTTTTTTCCAGCTGGAATCCAGTGGTGTTGCGCTACTGAAGCCAGTCGATCTGATCAATTACGTCTGATTATTCTATTGGCTGAAGGAATCGAATCTATCTAAAGTACAAATATTATCGCTGCTGCCGCACTAGTTGAAATGCTGGATGGTCGACGAATGTAAATTACGTTAATTTCCTTATTTATTGGCTCAATTATGATTTCATGGGGATGCCATATAGACGGGCTGGGAGCTGTTCTCCTATATGTCAGCATTATCTTAAGCTCGTTAGCGACAGTTCACTTTAGATTAGTCTCAATGGGACCAGTCGAAGCACTTTTTTCAGCAAAACCGTTCGGTTTGTACCGTAAATAATGCAGACTCGATTTTATGCAGATCATTTTTCAAATGTTCGCCTAAATCTATACAAAATAATCTAATTGGATGGCTTAGTATTTTCCATCCAGCGTATTTTGGACCAGGGTGGCGCTGCTGGTATGGATTATATTACTTAATCACAAGAAATTAAGCTGAAAAGTGTGTTTTTCCCACAAAATCGAGCAAAAGTTCTTGGTCAAAATTGTGCCAGATTTGGGCTGGAAATGCGAGGAAGTCCAGAATGTTTTCCGTCTTAATGTAAACACGTAGACAATGAAGACCGTTTTTGGTTCGGGCGCGAATTATTTATGGGCCGGCTCAGCTGGAAAAAGGCGAATAACACCGAAATTATGGTTGTTTTCTGGCCGGCTAGCCAATTGAGATAACGAAAAAAGGCCAGATTGTTGCAGCTACAAGTATTAAACCCACGTGAGCGCAAAAAAATATTCGAATTATATGGAAAAATCGGGGTATTTTGCAAGAGAAACGGGGCGCGTAGGACGTTGGTCTTACAGGCCCGGAGCGGATTTATTCCAACAAAAAATTCACTTTTTATGCATGTCTTTATGCATGAAACTGTGATTAGCAGAGATTAGCAGATTAGCAGAGAGTTGTGGATTTTGTTTAGTTGTCTCATTGATGTTCGAGAAAAGACGCTAAAGGTTCACGAAACTTGCGTCGTCTTAATGGAACTCTTAGATACGTTTCAGAAGGCAATCAGGAAGGAACTGTTTACCAGGAAATAAATCTGCAATATTTTCTGTGCCCATATGTCGAATAATGATGATTCTATGAGGTTTTGGCCAAGGCAAAGGTTTGCAAATTTTGATGTTTTTGCGGCATCTCTTTCGGATAGTAGTTTGATTTTTATGAGATCAGGAAGTTTGCTTCCGAGATTTGGGTTATTTTCCCGTTAACATTGGATATGTATTTGATTCTATTTGAAATAGTTTTTTTTATGAAAAGGGACAATTTGCTAATTTTTTATTGCCTTATTTGATGGCTTATTCTTCAATATCCAGGCCAGGTATAAAAGCGCCGACTCTACGAGTGGCATTTGACTTCTGAATTTCAAATCTTTCCGGAAACCATTTCAATTTCTGTGAATTTATGAATATTCTGACGATTTACACAATTTTGCAATTCTTGCGTTGCTTTCCTTTACGGCGCATTCCTCTGGATGCAATTTAAACATCGAAATTTCGGCTTTACGCCACGAAACGAAGCTTTAGCTACGATTTCATGTGGATTTGGTTTCATGTTGGTGTCATGTTGTTGTTCATGTTTGGATTTCATGTGGATTTTCATAGTGTTTAGTTGTATCGCGCAAAGTATTTTAATTTGTATGAACTTAGAAAGCTCCCTAAACTTTGCGCGATTTGGTCATTCTTGAACTGTCGTTTTTTATGGCAAATTTATCGAACTCCAGGCAAGAAATGAGCTTGCCTGGATTCAACATCTGCTGCAACATGCTTAACATTTGGTGTGGATTTAGTTTCAGGAATGGTAGTGGATTAGTTATTATGAATTTAAGAATCTTTCATAGTTTTGCTCGATTTTGCAGTACATGTACTGCCTTCTTTTAAGATTCATTGCTCAAGATTGAGGGCGCGTACTGAATGCCAGCTCTATGAATCCATAAACTGAACCTCCAGGAAGATTTTCTGATAATTTAGCCTTGTTCCCGATTATTTATATTTTATATTATTTATTTTATTATTCCCGAGCGATTTAATTTTGATGAATTTTGGAGGTTTTCACTCAAGATTTGGGCGATTTGATTATTTGCGGTCTGTTTTATTGACATCCCTGAAGATCCAGAAAAGGTAGAGAGTTCCGCTAGCTTGCATAATCGGTAAAGCAGGGTCTACTTAAGATTTGTGATGAATTTGGTTTGGTTCCTGATAGTGGTTTTCTTTTTATTAACTTAGGAAGCTTGCTTCTAAGATATGAGTGTTCTGGCCTCGCTTGCACCATCTTCCCTATTGCTCATTTCTCAACATTTGCAGCACATATTAATATTCCGGTTTCAACAGTCCATACACAAAGGTTTCACTTAAAATGTGCATCATTAAGGAAATAAATTTAAAAATCTCGCGTTGAAAATCAAAGTTGGGCATGCAACAAACAATGTTTCAATGTTGTTAAATTTCTTAGTTTTGCTCATTTTCTTTGCACTATTTCTCGTGAAAATTCCGGCTAATTCGCCCCTGTTTCCGATCATCTAACGATATGCCTACACACTAGTTTTGCCGTAAACAATTTCGTTACCTACGCCTGATTCGAAAAAGTCCACGGCCTTAACCTTAACGCCGCTACGGAAAAATTGCACTTGCTCCTCTGTGAAGCCCATTTATCACCATTATTGCTCGATAAGATTAAAATGCATAAAATTACACGGATATTTCATTAATCGGGCAGCGAGCCCCATTGTTTTTATTATGTTGGCGATACTGTAAGCGCCACTTTTATCTAATTATACCCAGATAAGGCTCGTTTGTTGCTAATCTTAAAAACATTATTCTGTGCTCAAACAGTCACCAGTGCATCCAGCAGAAGAATATTTAAACTTTCTATATGCGGCTTTACAGGTAAGAAGTTTCTCAGAAAGGAAACTTGTCTTCGAAGCTTTTTCAGTCTTTCAAATATTCATCTAATTCAAAAGGTCGACAAACGTCCTTCTTAATAAGTGAGACCAGTTTGGAAAATCCGGCAAATGGGAGCACTTATGTGGGATCCAGTGGCGCACCGTAGATACCAATTTTTCCGTGCCCTAATTGGAGCTTTCTCCCAAAGCTGCTAAAGCCTTCTGGCGCATTTCTCACTGCTGCTGTTTAGTAAACAAACTGTAAATAAGAGAGTTGCATTTTATTCAATAAATGTGAAATTAAACGTGTATTTTCCTCGTCTACGACACTGCGAATGAGCAGAATACTCACAAGTCCCTCTGCATTGATCGGTTGGCATGTAGCGGAGAAAAATTGCATAAATCCACGTAATATTAAAATAAATTAGTGGAAATATTTAATAACCGACTGGCTGCATATAAGGGAATCTGGGTCGCAATTTTATTTATATACACCGCTTAAGCGGCTCTCTAATGCCGCAAAAACGATATGTCACTATTCTGCCGCTTTTTTCGCTCTTTTTTCCGCCTCGAAACCAGACCGATAAACGCGCAATTTTACCTTATTATAAATTATTTGTTTGTTTAAGACATTACGGCTGTCGCAAGTTAATTTGAATCGAAAGTAAGCAACCAATTTGAGGAATCTGGCCTTCGCAGTTCGCAATTTATTTAATCGATTTTCACATTTGTAAAGTTTTTCAGATTCTTTAGTTTTTAACCGAGAAGCGTCGAAAATGGTTAAAAGGTCCAAGAAAAAAGCTACAAAATGTCGCAGTTTACAAGTGAAATATGGAAACAAGCAAAGTGTCGTTGAATTTAGAATTTCGCATCTTTAGAACCGAGGTTTCGTTTGCAACAGTACCAAGCACCCTCAGATGCAATTATAGTTCCGAAACGCTTTCATTTCTTTATATGTATTTCCATTAGCTGGTTGCAGCGATGCACTTGAAGTTGTTGCGACCAAAAATCCATTTTTTTATTTCAGTTTTTCGCAACTTCTGCTTTTGCACCTTGTGGGTTTTTCATTAAAAGAGTTTTTTTCTGACGCGTTTTCAAGTGTCTGGTAGATGTAGTGAAACTTGCAAATTGCTGCTTGCTCCAGATTAGAAGTTACGAATTTTATTTAAAAAAGCGTTCATTTGAGGAAAACATTCATTTTTAGAGCTTCAAGCAGCAAAACATCAAGATTTTGCTTGATTTCATTGAGTCTCAATCTCACGAACTTGTTAAATTTTGCTCTAGATTACTACTTACGAATTTATTTTAAAAAGTGCATCGCTACTTGGATGCGCTAATTGTTACACCATCATTAACCCAGCAGTGGAAATTCGGGATTTTTTGCCCGTTTGGTGAAATTATCTCCAGTTTTGAATTTGAATGTCAGCTAGACATTGAGAAACTTTCAAGTTCCTGGTTGCACCGTATTGCTACCTACGATTTTTTTACGGAAACCGCACAGTTACGTGGGCTTGAGATTGTTGAACATTATATTTTAGCTCATTAATAACCCAGCAATAAAAAATCGGATTTTCTTCGGATTTAAACGAAAATTTAAAAACTTGTGAACCCAAATATTTGCTATATTTTGTGAAACTTTCAATTTCCTACTAGCTCCGCAATAGTACTTACGATTTTTCAGGAAGAGTGCGCATCTACGTGGGCGCGTTCATTTGTCATTTTCATTTGAGGATCGATTACCAAGCATCAAAAATCATGATTTTACTCGATTTCGGTCCGAATTTCACAAACTGCTGCTTCAAGCGTCTGCTATATCTGCAGAAACTTTCAAGTTCTAAGTTGCTCTAGACTAGAACTTGTAATTTATTGAGAAAACCGCATATTTACTTGGAAATGTCCATTTTTCGGTCATCATTATCACGGCGGTAAAAAATCAGAATTTTGTGAAACTTTATTGAAAATTCGTCAAATTTTGAATGCGAATGTCTGCTAGATGTCAGGAAACGTTCAAGTACTTACTTGCTCAGGTTGAGTACGTATCATTTTTTTCTGAAAGGGCGTTTTTGTGTGATTATATTGATTTCTAGATCATTGTTAACCCAACTGTAAAAATTGAGAATTCCTCCGAATTTCCAAAACCAGTTTTGAATGCAAGTGTCTGCTGTACATTGCAAAAATTTCAAGTTTCTACGTGTTTACAATGAGTACTTATAACTTTTTTACGGAAAACCCGCATGTACGAAAATACGTTGATTGTTACATCATTTCACACWCARCAGTAAAAAATMAGGATTWMTWGGGATTTCMMTGRAAMTTYTTCAGSRTGTGRSATMCRMRTSTSTGCTMYAGAYYSKGAAAKTTTCAAGTTYSTWCKTGCTCCRTATYAGAACTTRYRAWTTTTTCAAAGAAAGCGCACATTTGGGTAAGTCTGATGATTTGTAGGTCATTAATAACCTAACAGTAAAAATAAGGATTTTTAGGGATTTCCCTGAAACTTTTTCGCATGTCACATCCACATCTCTGCTCCAGATTGTGAAAGTTTCAAGTTTCTACKTGCTTGATACGTTRATTTTTATATCATTGTTAACGCAACAGTAAAAAAATCARGATTTCTTGGGATTCAMATAAAAATTTTCCAGGTTTCGAATAGAGATGTCTGCTATAGATTGTGAAGCTTTCAAGTTTCTACTTGCCCCATATTAATATWTTTTTATTTTTTTAAGACCTTTGGTACCTTCGTTCCTTAGATCACTTTTAACCCAGGAATGAAACATCAGGATTTCTTCAGATTTCAATCAAAATTTATYAAGAWCTGGAATAGAAGTGTCTTCTATACATTTTGRAASTTTCATAGTTTCCCCTTGCTTCAGATTAGTTTTSGATGCAAATTTTCTTTCGTGCTTCTTAAACCTCAGGCATAATTTTGTTTCAAACGCCCAAAAAACGTAACAAAAATAAAASTGCAAAGGCTGCAATAAATTTWATAAACTTTTGGAAATCAMRACGCAMTTAAACGTTGAAAAAATTAGAAGATCTATGGACTTTCAAGCATCAAACAATTTGAGGCTCCATGACTTTTAACACTAATTGAAAATTTGCTATTCCGGTTTGAACAATTTGAACCGACGTTTTGCTCGCAACTGCGCCAAGCGTTGTGAAAAGCTGTGCGAGTCTCGATGCTTTCATTGTTTATATTCCCGCAAAATTCACTTTGAGTTATTAAGCTAAAACTTTGCGGAACGAAAGGGCATTGATAATTTAGTTTCTTCCACTGTGTTTTTCACTTTTTCAGGGATTTATCTGTCTCTGACCATCGGTCATTTAGTGGCAATTTTCACCTCCTTCTGCCCACCAGCTGCCACTGTTTAAGCAATTCCCGTGGCTCTTAAATTGCCGATGGCGATTTACTACTGGGAATTGGCGCATTTTACCAAGAATTAATGTGGAAACCCAAGGATAAATCGAGCACCGGCCCACACGTCACTTTTTCCACTCGATCAATGGTAAACCATTTGAATAAATGCTAATTTGATAGGTTTATTGTGACGTCATAAATTGTGTGGGCCTCCTATTCAATGCCCATAAATAATTACAGAGCGAACGACAAGTCGCGCTTGATTTAATTTATGCCCATTTCACGACATTGTTATACCGGGATTTGGTTTAATTGGCTCAAATTGTAACTAGGAATCATTTTTCTATTCCTGCCCTTCCTGCAAAGCTTCACTGGTTTTCGGGACATTCATTCAGACAGCGAACGAATCACTTAGAGCTTAGAGCTATCCCAGCTCAATGGGAGCATAGAATAATAATACAAAATAGAATGCAGCGAATAAGTTGGCATCCATCCAATGCATTATTCATCGATATGGTCTCATATAACACGACGCGCGGTTCGAAAGACAAGGGGTTGAATACACCCATAGAAATACGAAAGCCAGTGCCATAAAATATATGAGCAAAGCCACAAAAGAAACAACCTAAAAAATACAATAGACTAGGTGTGTCGTCCCCGGCCCGATGCTCAAGACGTGTTAAATAAAAGTTGCCGTGAAAACGGGCGAGACCACCGGGCAGAAGAGTTCCACCTGTCTTGGAGATAAATTATTAGCCGAATCGTGGCGATTAGATTCGATGCCTTTGGAATTGAGATTAGTCTGGATTACCTAGAAACCTATCTTGAAAGGTTCTAGATTGTCTCGTAAATCCTCCAGAAAATGCTCAAGTATAGTGAGTTGGGCACATCCCGAGAACTTTCGATGTGGCGGACAAATTCATGAAACAAAACTGACTGCAAAGAGGGGCTTTTGCGTCGAATTTGCAAAAATTGCACACAGTTTGGAGTCCAGTACCTTCACAAGCATTTTCACACCCAAATCGTATTCTTACAGCTGCAGATTAGCCAGAATAACGCTGAAAAGGTCATCGACTTGATCAAGGTAGTATTCGGACTAGGCTTCTATTGAACGTAGAAAAGAAAAACGTTTGGTAATAAAAAATGTAATTTTTAATCATCTGCGTGCGCTTTATGAGCGCCGTTTTGTTGCAAAGCGAGTTTCAAATTTGCATTCCCCAAAAATCGCTTGAGATAGAAAGGCGCTTGTTGCGGCATTTAGGAGAACGCCTTTTTGTTTACTAATTCCACAAAATTCGGTTTAAACGCCCATTTTTCTAGAATTTTCCAAATTTTTAATCATCTGAGTGCGCTTTATGAGCGCCGTTTTGTAGCAAAGCGAGTTTCAAATTTGCATTCCCCAAAAATAGCTTGAGATAGAAAAGCGCTTGTTGCGGCATATAAAAAGCGCCTTTTTGGTTACTGATGTCAGAAAATTCAGTTCAAACGCCTATTTTTCTAATATTTTCCGAATTTTTAATCACCTGAGTGCGCTTAATGAGCGCTATTTTGCTACAAACCGAGTTTCAAATTTGCATTCCCCAGGCGGCACGAATTAACAGCAGCCTTTTTAAAAGCTTGCAAGAGAAGCGAGAAACAGCAAGAACAAGGGAATTCCCTGATTAAGATATTTAAGAATTTTATTTTGTATTTGCTTATTATATGCGCTTCATTTTAATTAAAAGATTTCGGCGAATCATTTCAGATTTTTTTTAGCTCAAATATCAGGAAATAGAGCCTACGCGCTTCGTTTTTTCTTAGGACACTTTAGATGCATTTACTGTCTTTTCTAGTTTTGCTCAGTTTGTGCAGCTAAAAATTTTCCGTGTCGACTGAATGCAATTTGAAAAGGTTTAAGAAGTGGAGAGAAGCTGAGAAATTCACAACTCATGCAAGTGTAGTTTTTCGGAAAATCTCTGCTCAGAAGTGCCCCATTTTGAGAACTTCTTCCAAATCCAAAGTCAAAAAATGTAACGACTCCTGAATTTGTTTGTTAATTTTTTGAATCATTTTCTCAAAACTCTCGACAAAACCCCCAAGAAAAAGGTTTAGAAAAGCATATTGGGATCAAAAGCTGCTAACTCCTATCGATTAAGACAGTAAAACTCAGCTTCTATAAAAAAATTGAGAAAAATTGAATTTTTTTACTAAAAAATCGTTTTATTGAGAGCATATTCTATTCAAATAAACATTTTAAACTGCACTTTCTGAGCTGGAAAAACACAAACTCGGCAAAACAGTGTGTCTTGACACTTTTTGAAAAATTCAATAGTTTTCAAGTTATTTAGAATTCCTTCCCAGAGGTAAATGTCATAAATGTTTTCCAAAACTATATATTATTTTGAGGCGAAAAAGTCAATAATTTTCAAGTCTTCGAATTTTTTCTGCACAACTGCACAGTTTCTTGAAACTGCACAGTTTTCAGATAAAAAATTTACTTCAGTTTCAAGTTTTCTCGAAGTTAGTTTGTAAATGAGACTTAGCGTGTTTCCTAAAAAGTTTTTCTACATTGAGTTTTTAATTGGTTTGTGATGGTTTATTAAGCTTCTGACTCCAAAATGCATACTTTCGTCTGTTGTCGCTCGGAAATTAAACAATAAATACTTGCTGTGAAATCGCACTTTCAAGTAAAGCCATAAATTATATTTTTATTATGTTTTAGAGTGAAGTGTGCCCTCAGAGTACCGGAGATTACAATAAAATTATCCCGGATGATGCCAAGTTTTTTATGATTTTCCGTTTCTTCAAACAAGAACAGGTTTAGAAGCAAACGGTGAGCAAAAGACTTCTTGCAAAGAAACTATACGTTTCTCCAACCTGCAATATGGCCTTATTTCAAGAAGCAAAATAGTGTTTCATGCAAATTTTCAAACAATGAGGTTTCGTTAGGACTGGGTTTTTTAATTTTGCAAAACTTAACGGGTGTTTATTGTGTATTCAAAGATCGAAAATCGTGTAGAAAAACCATCGATTAGACGGGCAAAAAACAATAATATATACAGGATGGATGATTATTCGTGTCGTCCGGAACAGTTGTTGTTTAACCAGGAGAAATTAGCACATGAGGCTCGTTATGCATGTTAAGGATCACATGAGCTTTAAACTCCCGGACAATTTGAGTAGAAAAACTACCTAAGAGCGAAAACGCGGACGCTTAAAAACTTTGAGAGGTCGAATCAGTTTAGGAGGTCAATTTGGGGCGCAATCGTAAAGGTTTCCTGAAACCGCTTAGACTTTAGGTACAAAAGTGCGTCTTGAGACTACTGATGACTGACTGTTTCAACGAGCTTTTTTCGTGTAGTCTGCGATATTTGGAAGAAACCGCGCATGAACCTCGATAGTTTCATTTTTTCCAGAAAACAATCGATTTTTTAAAGCACATTGAATCATTTGCCTCAAGAAGCCCTCAAAAACAATTTTTATGATAATAACGTTTCCACACAGCCGAAGACGCAGCCTTTTACCTAAAAACTATGTGGTTGCGGGAAAATTATGGCGATATTTCCTGAAAGTTTTCCTAAATGGACTGTTCAGGTTTATTAAGCTTCTGAACCCGAAAAATGCGTACTTT